CCATTTATTTGCCCAACTCACTAAATGATCTAAATCCTATTGTAAATCAGTAGCATCCTCTTCACAGTTAGCAACACCTAAGACCTTAATTATAGGTAATATTGTCAGCAAATTTAAGTAATTTATTGACCATTCCTTCATCTATGTCATTGATGTAAATCAAAGAGCATTAAGGTCCTAAGACTGAGCTCTGAGGTACCTTGCTTGTGACATTAATTCAATTTGACTGAACTCCATGTATAACAACCCTCCACTTTCTTCCATCCATCCATTCTTCTATCCAATTAGCTAATTTATCCCCCTCACCTAGAGATCATTTTTTTACAAGCCTTTTATGTGACACCTTGTCAAAGGCTTTCTGAAAATCCAGATACACCAAATGTACACCCAAATCCTCATCTACATAAGTAATAACCTTTTCAAAGAATGTCAAAAGATTTATAATGCAAAATTTTCCTTTAGTGAAACCAGGTTGACTATCCAACAAAATTCTAAATTTTGTTAAATGACTTTGTGAAGTATGTTATCAGGCTTTCCAAAACATTTTTCACAAGTGATGTAAGACTAATAGGCCTATAATTACTCAGACAGTTTTTAATACCTCCTTCAAAACTCTTGGGGAAATATCTAGTCTAGGAGACTTATTTTTAAACTTCCCAATTTTTTTCTTAACAAGCTCAGAATTAATGCAGTCATATTGTCTGACCTTGTTTCCATCTATCAACTGTTCAAGATGAGAAATACTGCTTAAATCTTCATTATTAAAAACTGAAGAAAAAGCTGAATTTAATAACCCAGCCATATCTTAACCATGAGATACAAGCCTTTCTTTATCATCCTCCATGATACATTTTTTATTTTTAATAAGATTGTGATTGTAGCCTAACAGCAATTTAGCTGTGAGTATGATACGTCTAAGTTATACTGTTTGTACAGAACTGTTGTAACTCATCCTTTAAAAAATTCTTGCAACTTACTCTTTTGACAATTAATTGAAGTATGGTAACCCAATGTTGGTAAATTCTTGTTTAGTAATACATTATTATTACAGTAAAAAGAGAAATGAAAAATATGTATTTCTTAAAAAAAACAGCTGTGGAATACTTGTAATTTCAACATTTGTGTGAACTGCCATTGACCTTCATACCCAGTGTCATTGAAGATGACTAATGGAAAGAAAATTTGTTGGGATTTTTAATTTTATACTTAATAATAGATCATATCATGCACATGTAAGACATAATTTAAGGACAATAAGGGACCTACTGGCCCACCTAGGGTGTCCCATCCATTAAACTAAACTTTAAAATAAAATATCAAAAACAACAAAAATCTTAAAACAACCTTTATCATTTAAGTATTTATCAGTCCTTCCCTTACCCTCCCTTAATTAAGTTATTAAGTTCATTACATCTACATTACATGGGCTAATCCTGTTAGAAAGTAAAATTGTCTTAGCTGAAGATGTTTCCTATCCTTCCAAAATTTATATTTGTATCCCCTAGTTCTACCATTCTCACCATTAAGTATAATTATAAATAAAGATGAGGTATCAACATTATCAATTCCTTTAACAATCTTAAGAATCTCAATCAGATTCCTTCTAACCCTTCTTTTTTCACCAAAACTTAATATATCTACTTAAATGTAGATGTACAGCATTACTAATATGATGTAAAATATATTTTGAAATTGTTTCTAAACTTTCAATCTAATAAATGTATATCCCAATACTAAAACAATGTTTCATCAGTATATCATTATAATAGTGCTACTTCCAGCACTAAGTATAAAACCAAGTGGGGGGAGGGCATACAAAGATATTATATATCTCGGAGAGTGCACTAACACTCTCTTCAGAGGAATGTAATGACATAAAATAACCACCACTATTGCAATAACACATAAGCTCAGCTGAAGTTTCTACTTCAACAGCCACAATAAGGCTGTATGAACCTTCTTGAGTTATACCCATTTCCTACTTTAACCCATGAACTTTCAACTTTGGGCCATAAAACACTCCTGTGGTCATAACCATCAACTAATTAATTATGTGAAACACTGTGGAAGGACACTAAGAGGTGGGTGATGTAAGCACCCCTACCACCACTACTTTAGCCACTACCTCTTCCTACAAAATCACATTGACCATCACACAGTGTATACCATGCTTTAAGTATAAACACATTGAGTTATTAAAGCTTATACAAAACATTTGGTGAGGTAATAATGAATACTGTAATAATATGTTATGTTATAAAT